GAAACTGTCTGAACTAATTCGAATCTAAATTTGTAGTTAGAAAAATGTAAGTAATTTACTAGCAAATAATATATGGTTATTGGTATAGTTGATAGGTTTTTCATAAAATAACTAGTATAACATGATTGGGTAAATATATTCATTATATTTTATTCATTTAAAAGCATAATTTTCGTATCAAATACTTAATATTTTACATTATTAATTAAAAGAATATAGGTATAGACATGATGCAAAAATACAAATAATTCAAGATATCTAGGTTGTTTTCGCATTTGGTCACATATGTAGGAAGACTTAGAGGAACGCGCCTAGTCGAGAGTCCATTGTATGCATGATACTTTCAAAAGTTGGACCCTGGACGCGGTGAATTCCTACACGTTTCGCCGGCATCATAGTCGGCATCATTAGTGAGTCTCGCCATTTTTAGCACCATACAACAACTCGTAAAAGAAGCAAGTAAGCCTATCCTTTAACCAAACGTGGGCTAAACAGTTGTGGTATCTCCCCTTCTACCCTGCGCTATTCATATTTCCTATATCCTCATAACACACCTTTACTGTCACAATTTGTACTGTAGTCTGTAACAGTTAATGCCTTTAAAAGATAAAATATGAAAATTTGCCCGGGTTGGCTTGACGACGATAGGACAAATGTATTAAACCTATCCTCAATCCCTCTTGATTTTGAAAAAACGGATCTATTAATAAAGGGTTACATTTTTCACTAGGTAATGAAGAAAACTTTCTTAGTGATATTCTGGTGGAAGTTGTCAACATAACGAATAAATATCCAGAAGATACAAGGCGGGAGATGGAACTGGAAATAATCCTACGGTTCCCGCAATCAAGAACGGATAAACAGGAGCAGATTGACTGGTATTTGGGAAAACAAATGTTACAAAAGAATGATCAAATAGTTCTTCAGGCGGATGAGGGAATAGCGACCGCTGTAATGGACAGGAAACAGTACACGGAGAAGATTGAAAGTATCATTGTCGACCGGAACACTTATAAAATACTAAGGAAGGATCCAACCACAAAGATCAACGGGACACAGAAGAATATTCTCAATGAAATGCATAATAAGGGGGAAATTGACTGAGGGATAATGAAATCTTTAATCAAAAATAACGCGAGGCCATCAAAGCCTACGGACTACCAAAGATACACAAGCAAAGAAATCCGCATGGAGACTGCGACTACACAAAAGGCTATACCATCTTGTTCTTCATACTTTTGATTCAATAATCTTTTTCATCTAATTAAAATTGGGTTGATACATCCCTATTAATAAATAATCTTCCTTGAATATTAGGGTAGTCAGCAAAATGTTAAACCCCAGTTACAATCAATATAATGCATGTTTATGTAAAATTAAAATAATTCAATAATTATTGTTTTAAAGATGTATGGAATCCCTATTAATTCATAATATTTGCTGCATTTAGCGAAATTTAATAACAGTTCAATTTTAACCAATTAATAATATACGTATTTTACATAAAACAATAAATCATACACTTGATTCATAGTTTTGCCACCGATTATAGATTACTGATTAATTTTTAGATTCGGTACTCTGAAATTTTTTAAATTCCTATTCGACAAAGATTGGGGGAACACAAAAATGTTTGTAAAGGAAGCTGGGCTCAACAGTCAGAAGTAGCCGAACACATGGTAAAAACTGGACATGGTCTCAAACTAGTCGGTTTGCTGATTATGGTACGTCTGCGGTTAAAAGAAAGATAAGAGAGTCTATTGAAATTAATTGATTAGGAAATACATTGAATATGAAAAACAGTGGTAGAAGGTTAAGTAGCAACTATTTATGCTTGATCATAGATTGAAATTAGAAAGTGTTAAACCGCCATCCAAAGGAAAGTGACCAGAATAAAGATAATTAACAAAACCATTATATATCGATCTATATTTGTTATATTATTTTTTGCCTAAATGAAACTATATTAGAGGTATGATAGATCCGGATAGTATTATCGTCTTAGTGTTAACTTTAAAATTTTACAATAATGAGTCCCACTTTGATACTGTCAAGCATATGATGGACGAAAGCTTAGCCCTTTTTCACTTGAAAAGAGGAAAGAGGTCATTTGAACTGCATCAATCTCAACTTCATATAAAAGCCAAGCGGTCGCAGTACAACAGGATACAACCGTCCTCTTCTGGTGAGATCGACCGTCGAATCTCTTCTTCATACATTTTCAAACGAAATAAAATTACCAACAATCATTTTTTTATTCCAATATTATTCCAAATTAGCATTCCCAAATTTAGTCTTGACGCTTCATTTCAATGGATTATTTGTGTGTAACACATAACAATATTTGATAAAAGTCCAAATGTAAAGAGGAGAGAGCTTCCTTAACTCCTTAACAATCTAAGTTTAACTAAACTTGAATATAATTATGATCAATAATTGTCACTAAATTCCTAAAACTCTTAAATTATTCTTATCATTGGATAAATAATGGGAAAAATTCATTTATTTTGAAGCGAGTGATATAGTTTTTATTTCTATATTGATCCTTTCCGCGCTCAGAAATGTCAATGTGTATCCTTTATTTGCGATAAAGAAACAATCATATCGGAAACGCATTCTTTAGAATCATTTTTATTCCGTTTCTTCATGAGAATTATCCTATTGTCTGGATAAGTTACATTAGCTAAAATCATATTGGATTTTATTTTCATTATAGGATAACTCAACTATCAGCTATTGTGAATGAGATCGTGGTTTAATTTTTATCCTTGCCTTAATCTCTTTTAGATTAAATTTAAAAACTCAGCAGGTACTATTTTACTAATGCATCGCAGGTTAGTTCGCAGATTTTGATAATCTCCTTAAAGTTTTAGTAATTGTTTGTTCTTTCCATAATATTCCTATATAATTATGTGTTTCATTTGGTTAATGGAGTTTATCTTTATTCAGATTCTAAAAGATCTCAACATATTAATTGATTTCTTAATATAACTTTGGTTTAAACTTGGCAACACATATTTTATTATATTATAAATAAAAATTAATATGGTATCATTATCTGAACAATTTTAGAGTCATGATTATAATGTAATCAGTATATTTTCTTAACTTATAATTCCAAGTATAAAGGAAATGCTATAGTGAACTATATATTAATAGTAATAAGTACAAACTCAAAGAAATTGGCACTATCGGGCTTTGATCGCGATATTTCTAATTCCTGTAAATCCTTTAGTAAACTTAAGCTGGATGGATCATCCCTGTTATAGAAGAAACAAATCGAATTCCAGTTATACACAGCGAGAAAGTCAACAACAGCATTTGCCACATGCCAATTTGAGGGTTCTAGGTTGAACTTCATTTGCGATGCTGTAGGCTAAAATAATAAATGGAAAAAAATCAAATATGAAGTGAGTCTGGAATTGAATACAGAATAATATACCAATGTATACACTAAGGAAAAATGAGAGTGAATAAAATCTTTTAATTGATTTTAGCATTACTAAACCAAGGAATTATCCGATAGCTGAAAGTATTTGATGTTTGGTTAACAACCTGATTAATAGTGCACGCCTCTTTACAAATTATTCATAGGAATTATTATCTCATCACTAACAGAACATATCATTATTATGTTGTCTCATTTTATTTCATATCTCATCTAACTGATTTACTGGTAGTCTATAAATCATATTCGCATTAGCACTCTGACCAAAGAGTACTCGCAACAATGTGGCATATTGATTTAACGTGTCGAGAGTATACGGTGCAATCTCATAGTTCGAGTATCTCTGGGGGTGTGTATGAGACGGCATTCCATCGTGGATGAGAATACCTTTTTGGGGAAGCGAGGCTACGTCAAATTTAATGTAAACATGATGGTTACTAATATCCTTGTAAGAAAATTCAAATATAACAATTTTATTACCTTAAAAGAAATGGAGTGAACACATCTCATATATATATTATCTGTTTCAAATTCATGCACAATTTTATGAATAAAATCATAAAATTTTAATATTATTACAGAATTTCCTGGTTATTTTATCTATCAATTATATTCTTATAATTCTCTCAGTAAATGGAAATTTAAGTATTTTCCACCATCGAAAACAATCTTATATAACTTTTCTAAGAAGATTTTAGTTTAACTTTAAAGAAACTTTGAATTGAGCGTTGCTTTTTAATACTATAAATATTATTAAAAATATTTGCATATGATATTAAATTTAAAATATAGACTATGTGGATTTAAACCTAATATTTTAAGAGACCACTGTTACAAACTTATATTTAACAGGGTTCTCACTAACAAAAAAAACACCATTAACGATAATTGGCAACAAAAAATTGCCTTATAATAATTCTCTAGTATAATATAAGTGTTATAATATAATAATTGGTTTTCTATTAATGTGGCCAGAAGAAATTTCAATTAGCCCAACAAAATTTTATATTGTTTTAGGCATCCTTTTACATCTAAAAGCATATGATATAGAAATTTGTTAAAGAATATGCATCATTTTATAAAATAATGCAACTTGTATTGAAATGGAAGATTCATAACCCAACATTCGCTAGGTTAATGAAAAATGTTTTAATTAAAAATCTAGTATTATCATAGTATTCTCGAAAAAGTTTTGAAAGAAGTTATTTTATTTAACTAAGGCATATTATAAAGATGCAAATCATTAAATAATTTTCTAGAAACCCTTACATCTTTTTATAATATTTATATATATAAATAGGTTAAAGTATGTGATTTATCTCACTACTCTGACTTCATCTGCAATCTCATTCATAATAAGGTTGATATAATCTTTTACTCTAGAAATGATTCTTTATATTATAGCTTTCCAATGAATTACAAAGACATAACGAACATATTAAAATCAAAATATAGTGGGCTAATTAATTAAGTATAATAGAGGAATTATACAATTGGTTTAATTGACTTAAATATTGTGTATATTCTTTAGGAATAAACCTTCAGGATTTGTTTAGTTTTTTCCTAAAACAGTAGCAAAAATAATATTGTATATTCGATTAGAACTCCTTATTGTAATATGCAACTTATCTTCGGTGCACATGTATAACGACGATCTTCAGATCACGCGAAAATCAAATGGTATTACATAGGAGTGATTACTCTTTTTGATTAACCATCAATTCAAATAAGTCTTATTAATTTAATAAGTTTTATTAATAATAGCATCATAATTTGCTATTTATTGTGAAACAGATAGGGCTAGTGTAATGGAATTTGTGATAAAATATTTATGTTAAAAAGATAATGTCCCATCTAAGATTAAAAGTGCATATAAACATTTTGTTAAAAATCAAATTTACGAAAGTTTGCGTAAGAGAAGAAAAATTGAAGAAGCGAGTAATTAATCCACTTATAAAGAAAAATTTACTATGTTATACTTAACTTAAGGTTTTCAAGATTTTGACGGGTGAAGTCAATATGATGGCATATTTATAGATCTGCAATACGGCATCTAGCATAGATTTAATGCAGTGTAACTGTAGTTAGTTTGTGTTTAAGTTATAAATGGCGGATTGATGGTTCTGAAGAAGCAGTTAATTATAGTAATCAGTGTAAACTTCTGAGAAACAGAACGACCAAAGCTTATAACATTTATTAGCAACAGTTTGGCAAATTATCAATCAGCTAATGTTTTTACATAGTATGCTTTTAGTTTTTAAAATAGGATAGAAACACTTTATCTAATTTATTTTTAATTTTAATATTCATCTCATATTTCTTTTTATTATTTGAATGATTTATCTCAGGCCTAATAAAATCGCTTATATCAGGGATTAATTTGATAGATAGATATAACTATATGCTTTAAAATTGAGGAGAATTTCCTAAGAAACATGTTATGCTAATTTACTTTAATTTACTTTGAGCTATAAAGCTTTGCTAAGATAATAAATATTTATTTTCAAGCTACATTACATAGATATAAAACGCATGCATGGCACATATGATGAGATAAATGTTATATCTACCTATAGAATAAGCGCTTAATTTGCTCATCTATTTGGTTGTTTAGTAATAACATAAAAGATTAAATGCAGATAAAATGTAGAACTAAAGCTAGATGTTACAAAAATATTCTAACTTATAGCCTTACGGGAAAATGACCTATCTTTCCAGTTATATAGGTGAGAATTGGCACTCCGAGTGAGGAGCTTATGTGTAAAAATAGCTTGACCATGCGGATTGTAGAAGGTCCATCTGAAGCACCGGCATCTAGTGTAAGTATAAAAGTATTTGCAGGGCTCCGCATAGTTTCGTTGTCCAAAAGCTGATTGCAGAGATCCCGATACACTGCCTCTGGATTGTTGATTGTTCGTGGCTGACCACGGTATTGTGGTTCCACCAACAAGTAAGAATTATTTCCAAGGAAACTGCGAAACAGCTCACCAGGGCCGCCGTTCATTTTCATATCATCCTCATCCTCCAAGCGGTAAGCGGTCACTTTGTAGAGGTGAAGTTGAACACCAATCCTGCGTTGATGGCGCCATGATGAAAGCTCAAATCCGGTACCAGTTGATCTTAGGCCACTGTAAGTAAACACGGATGATTTAGTCGGTAAAGCGAGAGCGCGCCTATTTCGGCGCTGAAATTCAACATGAATGTCTTCTTTATCATTCTGAAGAAGGCTTGAATCAAATATCCGAAAAAGGTCAGCAAAGCGAACGTCAATGGCCCCCACATGCCTGAAACCATATGAAGGGTTCAAATTATCACTATAATTACTCATGACTGTGGGGACATTCTCTTGAAATATGATGGCGCTTTTGAGCGGAGTTACTATAGATGATACCAAGAAATTTGAGCTATTAGCTGTTAAGTAGTTAATATTTTGCTTTTGAGGAATCATTATTTGCCGTTCCTTAAAATGCATCCTTTTTCGTTTCTTCTGGAGTTGCTGGTGACTATCGTGGTTAGGTGTAACTTTCCAATATTGTTGTATGATGTTACCAGCCAGGCTTGCATGAACTGGAGGCCTCAAAGACACATGCAAATTTTGATTGCCATTATGAATTGTCGTTTCAGGTAATGGAAGAACAATTTGGTAACAAAAGAAGAAGCCAAAGAATAGGCAAAAGTAGATACAAGTAGGAAAATTGTCAGGCTGTTGAGTAATCATTCTGAATGAAGGGATACAAAGCTGTAAACGGTGAGTAATAATAGCAAAATCAGCCTCTTTTTTTCAGTAAAGTTGGTATTGATGTGGCTTTTGCGCAAATTACTTCCAATAAATATACTGTATGTGAAAAATGATAAAATTCATCATTAAGTACATGCATAAAAAGGCATAATATTCTAACTAAGCAACTTATTAGCATCTCAAACATAATCAGAGCCTTAATGATAAAGCATTAGCTAATAACCTTAATTATAAACAAAATATTTAGTATAAATAGATTCCTGTTTAAAGTTTTTTAACTTATATATAATTAAGATTTTTTATTTCAACAGCAATAAACTTATTATATGAATTTATCATATAATTTCTTCAATATAGATTAAGCCTCTAGTAATTTTTTATATAAATATTCATCAAATATCCCATTACCCCATTAAATTATGACTTTTATGGTTGATGCTGGATTAAATAAATAGACAAAAAAAAATTTTATTCATGTTTGATCAATGACTAAGATTAAATATTGATTTATTTGTATGCAATTATGTTAATTTTAATTTTTTTGAGATTAGCGTGGTCGAAACTGCAGTCCATTTTGGATGGAAATGCCTTTTAAGAAGCAAGCCTTTGTGAAATTCAATTGAGCCATGATGCATGAACATATTATTCTAGCTAACTTAAACAGTAACTAAATACTATCATGTAAACTGTTTCTCTTGAAAAACCTAAATTAGAAATGTAATATATATCTAATATTTAATTTAGGATTTTAAATAAGCATGCTTTCCTCATTAAGCACTGTAAAACTTATAACTCAAATGATAGATATTAATCTGTGATAAAAATCACTTTAACTGACTAAATTGGCTTTACTCTTATTTTTGAATTATATTATACTATAAAAAGTAAATGAAGATAGACAGATTTATTTTAATATCGAACCTTTTTTTGAATTTTTGAATAATTTTATATAATTTTGAGATGTCCTACTTCTAAGGGCTAAAATCTCAGTATATTTCTATCCAAAATATGAGAAGTAATCGAAGCGTGTGGGAATTCTTAGCAGTCAGCATAAAAAAGTGAACCGATTAAAAAATCCAGGCAGGATTGACATTTTTTCATTCTCACATGATATGCCAGAAAAAGAGTAATAGGATACCTCCCTTCATGAAAAATTAATAACACCATTTCTTAATGAATTTTCAGTTTAATCAAAGTATGAACCATAAAAGTATTATCAACAATTGCAACTAGGCTCTCAGTAATTGAGATTTAAATTAAATACGAATTTTAGTCATAGTGGAATTAAACAAGAATACAAGAAGGTGATGTTTTTGATTGGTCCAAGTGTTAAATATTTTAAAGCTATATGTTGCATAACGGATCGTTTTCTCTAATACGATTTAATGTCATGCTATCGTGGAGGCCTGAAACTAAACATATCATAAATAAGTAAGTGAGGGAGGTCCAAAGAAAATATTTTAATATATAAAATGATCTACATTACAGCCTTATCTATTTTTGAGTTTTAATTATTTTATGAGGATAGAATTTCAGAGATGTAATAACTGTAAATAATTACAGCTAACCAAATTATTATGGATTATGTCTTAAAAATTATTCTTACCGCAGTTACACGTCTACTTAACGGTATTAGAAAGACCCTAGAGAACCTACCCGAGACTGCATCCTTTATCCTATTATCCATGATTTTTCTAGCATCAGAACGCCGACTTGATACATTTTTAGCTGCTTTTCCGACATCGTTGTTGTAATTGCTATTAAATTTGGCCATAATTGACTACCAGCTACAATTCTTCAAAGAGTCAAATGAAATAAATCCCATAAAAACTTTTCTGTTGAAGGTTCGGGGTATCTTTTGATTTGTACTAGTATGCTAGCGCTCCATTTCAAATTATAATTTGTTTACTCTAATCTCATTTTAAATGGAACATGTTATTAGTAACATATAGCTTTCTAACTGGGGAAAAATGCTGATTCCACTTAGCCCTTTTTGTTTGAAATGCACTTCGTAGTTCTATAATCAGTTTCTGTCTCTTGTTCTTGTCAAAGCATTCCTTAT